GACAAATACCTCTAGAATACAGGCTCAAGAGGGAAGGAATTAATTTTCATCACTATACTTCTAAAGCAGTGGTGGTGAGCCTATGGCACGCACCTCACACCGAATGTTTGCTGTCATTGAAAGCTCTAAAGGGTTTGCAATCCCTGCTCTAGAGTCAAGTATAATCCTGGGCACACAGAAGGTGCACATTTAGGATGTATCTTCTGAATTATCAAATTAATGAATATAGACAATTATTACATCATGAGCAGAAACAGCAAACATACATAAAAAGTAAATTCCAAAGATAAAATAAAAGTACATTTCCCAGACCAAATGAAAACAGAATCTACACTGAAATCGATATGCTGGAAAAGAAGCAAACTTGAGCAGGAGGTTAGTTCACTGCTGGGAGTGAGGAGTTTGAGGGTCACATGAGGAATTGGTGGATGTACTTTAGGCCTATCTGGAGCTTCACCCCAGAAGAGAGATCAGGACTGGCCATATATATACTTGCACAATAGTAGCATGTATGCACAAGACTACTGAGGACTCAAGTCGGAGGAAGCTTTGGCAGAGGAGGAAGAGCCGGCCAAAGAGTGAGAGGGAAATCAGGGCCTTGTCGAGTCATGGAGCCAAGCTGAGAAGCAATCTACTTCAACACTAGTAGGCAGTCAAGCAAGAATAGGAATAAAAAGAACTAAAATTGAGGTCAACCGTCATGTTAGGCAGAGCAGTCAATTGGTAAAGGGGTGTGAGCCAAATGGGAGGAGATTAAGGAGGGTGTGACTTACGTGTTAGCAGAGACAGAGCGCAGATAGCGATGAAGGAGAACAACAGGACAACAGAAGGGAATATGAGATTCTGAGATGCTTTTCTTCTGTCAGTCTACCTCTCCAGTTATAAAATTTTAAGATAGGGAAAATTAGTTCTGAGTGTCACTTCACTTTCCTTGCTGTTCTCCATCTGGTCTCCTCTTCCTCAGCTGTGACCTTTGTCCCTGAACAAAGAGCCAGCTTAATTGATCTTTTGTCTTCTCTGAGAGTGAGGAAGCACAGTTTCCAAAGGGCATAAAGAGGGGCAGCGATGGCATCTGCTACCTCTTTCTCATTTAGACTTCCAACCAATCCTCTGGCCCTGTACTTGTACTTTGAGGACTATCTGGTGCCTAGTTCCTGAACCTTTTTGGGGAGTGCACCCTTTTTGGGGAGTCAGAAGTTGAAAGCAATGGCTTTTAGCTCTCTCACCTTACTGGTTTAGGATTCAGCTGTTTCAGGGATGTCAAATAGCTCACCACAATGCTCTGCTGCCTACCACATTTCTGGAGTTTAGTGAGCAAATATGTAAATCTGCTACATTTACTGAACTTGCCACTAAAATTTTTACAAAGGAGTAAAATTTTAAAAACCAATCTTAGAAGTATATTCTTTAAAATTCATCTACTGTCTTTTATAACTATAATTTTCTGTCAAAGATAATCAATTTATTGTTATAACCCCAGCTTCCATGATGGTGGAGATCATTTCTATTTTATGTATATTGTATTGTCTAATAGAATACAGATCGCTTCTCGGCCTTTTGGCTAAGATCATGCGTAGAATACAGGAAGGTGATTAATAAGTATTTACTGAATAAATATAAACGATAAAAATTAGAATCTTTAATTTTATAATTTTACTATTAATCTCATCCATTTAGAATTGCTTTAGCAATATTCCCAAAGGCAACCAGAAGTACATTACACAGGTTAACTGTCCCTTATCTGTAATTCTCAGGACCAGAAGTGTTTGAGATTTCACTTTTATCAGATTTTGAAATGTTCCAACATAATGCAGTATCTTGAGGGTGGGCCTCAGTACAAACAGGAAATCCACTTATGTTTTACACACACTTTCTGTACATGGCCTGAATACAACCTAGTACAGTGCTTTAAATAACTGTGCACGTGACACCTAAATTTGCGTACAATGAACCACCAGAAAGCAAAGCTGTCACTCTCCGAGCCATCCACACCGACAATCTGGCTGTCTGGCATCACATAATTCCTGCTAACAATCTATACCCAACTAATACACAATCATTTTCTTCTATTTGCTCACATATGTTTAACATTACAAGATAGGAGTCGGCATCACTGCTGAGAAGGCCTGTGTTCATGGTAGCTAAGCAGCACCTGGGTCAGCTGCCAAACCCCAGCCACAACAAACAACGCCATCTGCAATGCAGCATCTTGATGTAAAGGTTACTGAACACTGCATTTCATTTCTCCGTCAGAAAATACATCAGAAGCGGTGGAGGGGCCCGGGAACGGTCTGCTAGGGACAAAGTGGTCCTCCAGAACTACATGCCTCCATCACAATGGTCCTTGTCTTAGACGTCTCTCATTTTATAAGCTGACATGATTTCTTGTTCTATTGTGAATAGCCACCGTTCAAGTCCACCAATAAGCCTGTTTTCACCATACTCTCTATAGGCACTCCTTCAGCTTAAGAATGACATCGCCCCCATCATGATCACAGTCACCTCAATCAGAACTTTTCTACTATTTCACCATTGGTCAATGAACAAGTAGATCATCATTATCAATGTTAAAAAACTTCCTTGGTATCTAATTCTTCCTGTTTACAATCAAGCTATAAAGATACATTTTTGCTTATGTAAGGATGTCAGACATAATTTTTTCTTATTCGACATACAGAATGCTCAAAGTCATCATTTTGTTCATCATCACCGAACAGAGCCACAGGTCAGGGATTGTGCTGGGAGGTGCACACGTACATCTTTAGTGCTAAGCACTGACAACAGCATTTGTCATGCTGAACTCCTGTTGTAATCCTTCCCCAACTACACCTCTGTTCACTGCTGTTAGAAGTGTTTTTATATTTATCTTCTGTGATCTAATGATTCTCCAGTTACATGGCTGAATTAATGGTCACATCTGAGGAAAGTATGTGTATGAATATTATTCTTGATGAGACCTTCGGTTGGAGCACAAGCACAACAGCTACTGACGAAAAACAAATCTTTGCGGTCTTCTTCCAGTCCAGTTTCCATGCAAAGCATGAGCTGCTGCTTTAAAATATGAAACTAAAGTGGAAAGAGGTCCCTGGTGATTGTGTCTTTTTCTTAGCATAGTAACAGACCGATGAATACATTCCTTTAAAACACTGGGAACACATGCTTTTGCCTATCACACCAGTAGCACAGCCCAGGATAATTCTTTTGTCTTCCTCAGCCTTAATTCCTGGATGGGCTATCTCATCAGCTGAAGCCAGCATCTTTCTAGGCAATGATGCCCAATCAGTGACATTTCACCAGTGTCACAGGCTTGTTTTGGCGTCATATTTTCCTCAAGGATGACCTTTGTAAACTCACCAAAGTATTTCTTCCTTGTTTCATTTTAATAGAAGACTTATCACCATAGATCTTTAAAAATGTGATGTGCCTTTTCTTAAATTTCTGCAACTAGCTTGTTGAATATTCAGTTACCTTACAGTTTTAGTTCATCACAATAGATCTTTGCTTCAGGATTAGCATCCCATTAAACGGCATGTGCTCACCGTGATGCTGATGGCTCTACTCTTTTGATACACAATTGAGATCTTCACTTCTGGTTTATGCAGCTTCTTTCTATCTTTCATTAACTTCTGCTCACCACTTTCAGCACAGAATTTCAACAGTTTACCTTCTGTGTCTTCACGTCATCTATGATGGTCATTCCAAAGTCATTTTCTTCTGTAAGACATTTCACACTCACACTGCTGTTCAGTTTTTCCAACAAGTTGACTTTTTGTGCTAGAGATAATCCTAATTGCTTTTTATTTTTCTTATCATTCTTACCTATAACAGCATCTGTAACTCCTTTTAACATTTTCAAAAGTATCTTTACAATACAGAGCAGAGAACAAACAAAATACATAGTGCATAATGCTTACAGGCCTTGGCTCCATGTGGATCATTCTGGAGGACCTGCCCTGGGAACCCAGGCCCTGCATACATGTCATTTTATTAACTTCTGTGAGTGGTGGGCTTCTTACGGGAATCTGAGTGTGTTTGAAAAATATATATCCCAGTGAAGGAGGGTAAGAAGACATATTGCCTTGGGGATATTTTGTGTTACATGAGTATGTTTTACTATGGTCTATGAAATTTTCATTTGGGGCATTATATCAATGCTCAAAATATTTTGGGTTGGATTTTCAAGATTAGGGCTGCTCAATCTGAACCTATTCTGGAACTCAAGAACGATGTGTTTTATACAACAAAAGCCTTCATCACAAAAATTTTACTATGATTTTGTGTTTACATCAGAAATTTTCTAGATGAAAATCAAAATTGATATTTGAATTCACTGATTTTAGTTATAAAAATATCACTTATTATGATTGTGACATGAATATTTAATTATAGCTAACAAATACACATTTAAATGTAATTAAATACATTTGTAATATTAACAAACTATAATTAATACTAAAAATATGAAGGCTTTTATATCTAAAATTTTCACATTAGCTACTTATAGCCATTTGCTTTAAGTATGAAACTCAGGAGGATAATTCAAGAATTAGTAGATTCTTGTCATTCTTATGAAGTGAATTCAAAGGGCCATCATAGTGTGTCCCTTAGAACTGCAATGCAAATGATATGTGCTTTATTTTGTGACTTTCTTGGCCCCATCTAAGCAATAACACTGCCAAAAGGCTTAACACATATTTAATGTTTAGTTATATATTATATATTTTATGGAATTATTTAAGAACATAGTTGTTTTATTTCTAAACTGGAGAACTGTGATGTATTCATGCAAGATTCACTTCAATTTTTAACAGGATAGTTCCATGGTAGTATTAAACTACAAATCTTTACATTTACTCATGTCAAAACTTTTCTTTGAACAAATTTGCACAGAAGTCCATAATCCATATGGCAGTGCCCTGTGAAATGTTTATTCTATGGCTAATTTTTATCCTTGTTCACATTCTGCCATTACTAATTTCAAATTAAAATATAATACTCACTTCATCAGCCACAAACTCTTTACTCAGACCAAAATCTGTCAGCACCACATGGCCGTTAGAATCAAGTAGAATATTCTCAAGCTTAATGTCCCGGTATATAATGCCCAACTGTGAAAACAAACAAATATGCATTTTAAAACAGTTTCCAAAAATAAATTTGGACAGGCTTTCTTATCTACTTCTTGTAAAGGCATTTTCCTTCCTTAGGATTCTATGGCTCTTAGCAACACTTAGGGCAAATTCAAATCTCTCCATGGGGGTGGGGGTGTTATTTACTGGGTTCCCCGGACCTCTACAATCTTTTTTTAAACCCTACTGAGTGATCTCCACAGCCCCTCATGCCTTCATTTTCTTTGTAACAAAGGTCTATCCTGATTGGACCAGCTGTTCAGGGCCTCTCCTCTGGCTAATGCTTTTCCTACTTCTCTAGGGTGAATGGGAAATCAGCTCACTCCAAAATGATCTTTAGGTACATTCTTAGGCAATTCCGGTCCATTACTTACTAAAAGCTCAGAAAACTTTGCTAACTAACCAGGTCCTATGCTGGTCCTTTCCTTGTTTTTCATCCTATAATAACTATGTTTACATTGCACTTGCCTATAAGTGACTAATGTTTTCTAGGTATTTCCTCTTTGTCTTGATATATGCATATGCTAATTCTGTTTCTCATTTTTTAAACATTTATCCAGTGTCTAGCACAATGCCATGTGCCAAACAGGCAACTAATAAAGGTTACTTGAATAGCAGGCTCTTAAACATAAATATTAAAGATAACAGATTAATTTCAGTTTACCTGTAGTTCTAAATAACTGAAGCAAATCAAATAACATGGATACAGTCATGTGATGCTTAATGACAGGGATATATAGTGAGTATATGTTTTCAGGTTTTCCTGTGATCACATAAACAAAGTGTGCTTCCACAAACCTAGATGGGATAGCCTGCAATATATCTAGGCTATATGGTGTGTGCATGTACCACATATATGGTATATATAATATATAAAAGCATATCATATATATACTATAGCCTGTTGTTCTAAGGCTATGATGAACAAAACAAGATAAGTCAAGCACAAAAGAAAAAGATTATATAGTAAACACAGACGCATGAAGTGGCTGCTGCTGCTAACATGGCATTCTACTTTACAGTAAACCCACTTCTTAAAAATAAGTATAAGACTATGCTCTAAAATAATAGTCAAAAGTATAATATAATAAATACATAAATCAGAAAGGCAATTACTAGTGAGTATTAGTGTACTGTCATAACTGTATATGCTAGACTTTTATATGACTGGCACTGCAGCAGGTATATTTATACCAGCATCACAATAAACATGCAAGTAACATACTGTATTATGACAGCTTGACATCCCCAAGTGATACGAAATTTTTAGCTCTATTAAAATCTTATGCCAGCACCGCTGCATATGTGGTCTGTTGAGTGTTAGGTGGCACATGGCTGTGCATCTCTCTGCTTTGTGTTGTATATAAGTTTTATAGGAAAACACTTCAACTATTACTTCAATTATATAAGTAAATCTATTTAAATTCTTTATGATGGGCTTGATCTACATGAGTTTTCTATGTCATGTTTACAGTTATTTTAGCCTTTTTTTTTTTTTTTTTTTGCTTTTTTCTAATGTATTTAGTACAGGGTCTATAGGGTCTCATTTCACAGATTAGACTTTTAGTGACCCTTCTGTTTTCAGCCTCCCAAGCACTGGGATTACAGGTGCACACCACCACGCCCAGTATCAATTGCCATCTCAGTGCATCCTGGGGGCAGCGCTGGCACGGCATGCTGCGGATCGAACCCCGGTCCCTGCATCTGCCTAAGCAGGTGCTTTAATCTGCTCAGCTATCTGGCCAGCCCTGCAGATTATTAATTATGTCTCTGAGTTGAAATAAAAAATTATTTAAAGAAAAATACTAGCCGATTTTCCTCTGTGATTTCAGTGTTTCACAAGAATGATATAGGAGGGAAACATCTTGAGTGTATGCTGAGCAGACATTTGATTTAAAGTGTTATACACATCTAACAATCAGTAGTTCTTTTACTTCTTAATGACCTCTTTAGAAAAGATTTTTAGGAACAAATAATTTATTATTTGTAATAATGCTTTATCTCACTACTTCTAAGTAAACTTCCATTTTTTGTCTCTTCCTGTGAAATCCAGTGTTAGTACCTATGCTAAGATTAATATTGCTGGTTTGTATTATATATCTTTTTGAGGGTTACTGAGAAAGTTAGCTGAGATCTATTTGATTTGATTGCTATATCACTTTTAATTCATGCCAATACCACTTCTATCTGGTATTTATTAGATTCTCTACTTGCATGCTTACTACTGTTTAATAATAATAAATATTCATGATTATCATTTAATGAGTACAATGAACAAAATTAAACACTTCACATAAATTAAAAGTAGATTTTCTAGTTTACTTCCTGGGGCTTTGTATTTTTGTTCTTATTCTGGGATTTATGGTGAACTCTACCATTATTTTATTTTATTTTTTATTTTTTACCATCACTTTAATATTATAAACCATTACATGTAGTCATAAATTTCAAAGGTCCATGCCCAGCTCCAATTTGTTTCTTATATAAAAGCATCTGAACTACTTTATATCCTGCAAAAATACTCATAGGTGCAAGCATAAAACTCGTCCCCCTACTGAAAATTCTGTCGAAAGAAGTCACATGTGTCCCATGACTTCAGGGTCACTGGTATTTTGTGGCTCCTGTGCTTCCTTTGCCCCCAGGGACCTGTGGTGACACCCCAGCTGCCTGTTCTCCTGGCCCCCTGCTCCCACACATTCTCATTCTCTCTTCTTCAGATTCCTGTCCTGGATCCTCTCTCCATCGGAGCAGTGTAGTTTCCGAGTTAGACCTCCTCCCTTTTTCTTTATCCTGCCTTCTTTTCTGATATCTTCCCAGAATCTTTTCTTACAGCCTTTTCTATCTATGGTTCCTGTCTGGGTGTTAGGCCCTCCCTGTCCTTTCCAACTTCTTTCCCCCTCTTCTTACTTTTCCCCTCCAATTCCTTTTGCTTTTTTTCTGTGCTCTATAATCCACACTTTCAACTCTGTTTATCCTAAGCCAGAGTAGAACACAACACAACAAAAAGAATAGCTACATAATGTACCAGTATTGCCGTAACATTGAGCCTCAGGCCACATGGTTTCACATCTTTGGTACAAATTACCTTAGTACTTTCTGTCTCAAAGGAAAGCAAACAAGCTCAGGCTACATAATAATTATTTGGTTCTACAATAATGCTTCATTAAATTTTTAAATTAAGTCATAATTTCATTGATCAAAATTAAGAGCACCTACAACAATATTTTAAAACCTAAAGCTGATTTGCATGGAGTTCAAATGGGCCATGAATATGAATTCCATTTAAAGGAACTGCTCCACTGCTTGATGGAGGCAATGGAGAAGGAAGGCTGAGTAGGAACAAGAGTTTTAAGGACAACATAAATGGCATAGAAAGCCAGTGTAAGAGGGTAAAAAGTAGCTCTTATTCTTTAATATAATCAGGAAACACACCCTGATTAAATACAGGAGCAGATTGCAAAGAAGTAAGGCATACTTAAGTAAATATATACTATGACTTGTGGCTTCATTTTATAGGTTACTTCAGGAATTAAAAGCTTTTATTTTAATGGCACCTTATACTAAATGAAACACTATGCCTTTCATGACAAAAGCCAAAAAGCTAATCAGGTTCTACCATTTTTTTTTTTCTTTTTTCCTTTTTTTGTGGTACTGGGATTGCACTCCAGAACCTTGTGCTAGCCAGACAGGTGCTTATGCCTCTGAGCTATCTCCCTGGCCTGGTTCTCCCATTTTTTTCCCCCCGGTACCGGGGATTGAACTCAGGGCCTTGTGCTTGCCAGGCAAGCGCTTATTCTCGGCCCCTCTACCATTTTGAGCTGTATCACAGCAACTACAATAGAAAAAGAAATCATTCAGTTTTAACTGAGAAAACTTCTAAGCACTCTAGGAGTGTGCTGTCACGACCAAGACAATGACACGTGAAAACCTTACTCTTTCAGCTCCATCAGTACTTCAGTCAAGACTGCCTAAAGGGGAAACTCCAGGGATGAAGCATCTTACCTTGTGCAGATGTTCAAGGGCAAGCACAATCTCTCCAACATAGATCTGCACCTCGCGCTCTGTGAAACGCTCTCTTTGAGAAAGATGAGTAAAAAGTTCTCCACCATTTATATAATCTAAAAATGAAATATATTTTTCTTTCTTTGACTTGTATTCATAAACAAAAGGAAGAACTTCCTTTTAATCACTTCACATTAATCATAGGTGTTAATTTTAATAAATGTTTTGTATAACTCAGAATACAGAATACAGTTTCATTTAGAATATACTATGATATTTGTGTAATAATAATGTCATAAGATAATGGTTACCGTAAACCAAACAAATCAATTTTCAAGAGCATTGCCATTAAAACTATTACAAAAATGCACATATACCTAAATACATTTTCCCAAACACAGTATATATTGGAAACCTCTGCCACCACCGCACAATGAAAACATAACTTATTATGGAACACAAAACATCAGCCCCGACAACAACCAAAACAAAAATCAAATAAAACACAAACAAAATCCCAGCCTGTCATTTGTGATAGTTGCCAGTCAAGATGTATAAGTAGATTTCCTGTTTTCCATAACAGTCTATGTGTACTTCCAAACATGTATTAGGTACCAGGTAGCTTTCTTTTGCTCCATACAGTGCCAAAGTAAAAACAGTACAATGTGGCCAAGTCAAAACATCCAAACTAGAAGATTCCATTGTCTTTTTAATTTATCATATTTATTCCACGGGGAATAATGAAACTTTAAACAAAATGGATACAGTAAAAACTAAATGCATGAGCTGGGAGAGAAACAAAGAAAGAGAGACGTACAGACAGACAGACAAACGGACAGAACGACCAACCAAAAAAACAACAACAGTTGGGCACATGCCTCTAATCCCAGCTATTTAAGAGACGGCAGCAGAAGGCTCACAAGTTTGAGGCCAGCTTAGGCAACTCAGAGAGACCCTGTCTCAAAGTAAACAAAGAGGGCCGAAGATGTAGCTCAGTAATAGAGAACCCCTGAGTTCTATCCCCAGTACTGAGTGGATAAAAAAAGAGAAAAGAAACTATATTGACAATTAGCTCTAACAAGGCATTTGTGGAAAAACTGACAATTGAATGCTCATTTTTAAGGAAACAACTATAGAAACAAATACTAGAAATCATTCAAAATCATACAGAACAATAAGCATTTTGCCAAAAATGTTTCAGAGACTAACCACTGTTAAAAGTATGGTATATGTGACAAACACAAAAGGTATTTATGTATGACAAATAATTCACATCTAGAAGTTATGAATATAGTTTAAAGCTTTTCTCCTGAAAAAATCTGAGAGGAGTATGATATGATTTAATAGTTTTAATCTAAAATGTCCCCCAAAAGTCTCATGTGCTTGAAGGGTGACAGGCTCACAGGGTGCTGTCAAGCGGTGGGTCTGGTGTGTGTGTGTGCGGCCTGGGACAGGACCCGGAAGGGTAGACTTCCATCCTTGGAGCCCTTTTCCTCTGTTCCAGGATGAGGGCTGTGTCCCTTTCCTGCAGGGCGTCCTTGTACCATCCCATTTGTCTTGGATCCAGCCGACCAAGGATGGAAACTGTAGGCCAAAGTAAACCTCGTCTGTGAGTTGCAGATGTTCAGTATTTTGTCCCAGCAAAAGGAAACTGACTAAAACAAACTATGACAGAAAATACATGTATTCCAAACACACACTCACCAAGTTTACTGCAGTTTCATATAAAGGCACAACAAATTCTTGACAAACTCACAAATTAATTTTTACACAATCCACTTAAATTTAAATTTCAAAACCCAGATAAAAGTAGTTTTAGAAACAAGATAGAAAAAAAATCCCTTCTAGGGCTTTGGTATTTTGTTAGGGAGCTTTAATTATATCTAAACACAAAGCTAATTATTAAAAGGTGTAAAAGAACATAGCATTCCTGTAAGCTAACAATGACTTTTTCTACTTCTAAGTCATTCAAACCTAGTGCTGTTATTTATGAACGCGTGGGTTCTGCAGACAGTCACAGCACAGGAATAAGCACCTACCTATCAACTGACAAACTCCTTCAAAGCCTTCACTGCTCAACCATCTCACCTTTTATGGCCATTCCAGCAGAAATGATTTTGTCTTCACGTGCTGATTATTGGACTTCTTTAAGACTTCCACTATTAAAATTTTCTAGCTGTAATGCAAATAGTTACTTGCATACTTGCTTTTTCTGCACAACTGAATTTAAGAGGTAGGATCAACATTTCACTACAACACATCCAACACAGTGCCTATATGCAGCAAGTACTACAAATTATAACTATTACTATTTTGTTTCTAGAGAGAGGTTCTTACTATACAAGACCTCAAAGTCACAATCCTCCTGCCTTAGCCTCCTGAGTGCTGGGACTGTAGGCATACACTATCATGCCTGGCTATTTAAAAACAAAATGTTTTTTATGTTACATGTTATATAGGTTCTTTGAAAAATAAAATCACTGAAACTCAAAAGGACAGCCTACTGCAAAAGCAAATCCAATACACTTCTATCCAGAGGCAATGTGACATACTCAAAGGAACAGGATTTTGTAAGTGACAGACCTGAACTACACAACAGCTCTACTGCTCTCCTGCCTACAGCAAACAAAGTCTCTCTGACTTTCAATAACTGTATGTGTAATGCTGCTTGCATGGTACATAAAAAGTGCTTTTTTATCTATTTATGGAAATAGTGAGGAAAAGCAGCTACAAATCTAAAGAGATTAATCTTACAATAATAGTGTAACCTATTTGCTGCTTTTGGAATAGATGGCCTGCTGGTTCAAGATAAAAACTTGAGTCATAAAGTAAGAGATATTTTGTAAAGATTCATGCTATATATATGCAAGATAAACAGTGAGTGAACTCTGACAGTAGTTTGAGATGTCATACTGGTAAACAGGACATCAAGGCTGCCCAAAAGATGTAACACTAGAGTGTCATCATGAGGCACATGCTCCAACCAGCTGCAAAGTGAGAAGTCAACAGGAGGCAGCTTCTGTAAGAAAGCACTTGGTACTCTGTCTTCATAATTCTGTTGCTATGTTTGGCATGCAGTGTGCCTCTCTGTGGTTTTGTTACTTTCTTCAATAGCAAAGATGTTTAGCATCTTTATATGACACCAAATATTTCTATATCTTCTTGAAGGGCCTATTAAAATGTTTTGTGGGGTGTACCTATTTTAATTTTCTTTTTTACTTGAGATGATTCTCATACCACAAAATTTACCCACTTGAAGTGTAAAATTTAATGGATTTTAGTTTGTTCAGAGTTGTACAACCATCACCATAATCAACTGCAAGACATTTTCATTACCTACCACACCTCAGAAATTGCCTTTTTTCTACCTTTTTGTTAGTTGTGTGTGCTGTTGGCATGCTATCAAAGAATTCAATACCAAAACCAAAGACCAAATTTTATTTCAATTTTTTCTTCTAAGATTTTGATAGTTTCAGCTCTGACCACTCTGAGTTCATTTTTGTTTCTTGTGAAGCATGGCATTTTCACACTTAGCTATTCAGTTGTTCTGGCTTTGCTGGTTGAAAAGCCTGTTCTTTCTTCATTGTTCTTCTTGTCAAAATAATCAGTTCATGCCAGATGTAAGGATTTCTGGATTCTTAATTGTGTTCCACTGATCCAACAGATCTAGAAGGTTGTTTTTACATCAGCATCACACTTCCTCATTACTATAAGCTTTGCAGTAAATTTTGAAATCAGGAAAGTGTGACTCTTTACTCTTCCTTTTCAAACCATTTTAGTCGCTCTATGCTTTTGATTTTAAATATGAAATTTGGAGTCATCCAGCCAATTTTTACACAAACACAAGTTGAACTTTTGAGAAAGGTTGTATTAAAGTGACAAATTAGAGATTACTATCCTCCTATAAATACTGCCTTTGTCCATAAAGATAGGATGTCCTCCCATTTATTTAAATCTTTTCAATGTTGTTTTATACTTTTTTCACTTCATTCTTTTGGATTCTAAAGTAAATGGAATTGTTTTCTTGATTTCATTTTCAAGTTGTTCACTGAAAGTGCACAGAGGCCTTTTTACCAAGATGGCACCGCAGGCGAAGAAGGAAGCCCCTGCCCCTCCCAAAGCTAAAGCCAACGCAAAAGCTCTGAAGGTCAAGAAGGCCGTGCTGAAAGGTATCTACAGCCACAAAAAGAAGATACGAATGTCGCCCACCTTCCACCATCCCAAGGAACTACAGCTCCAGAGACAGCCCAAATACCCTCAGATGAGCTCCCCCAGGAGAAACAAGCTTGACCACTATGCCATCATCATGTTCCCCCTGACCACAGGGTCAGCCATGAATAAGATGGAAGACATTCATCATGTTCACTGTGATGTCAAAGCCAATAAGCACCACATCAAGCAAGCTGTAAATAAGCTCTATGACACCGAAGTTGCCAAGGTCAATACCCTAATCAGGCCTGATGGAGAGAAGAAGGCATATGTTCAGCTGGCTCCTGATTATGATGCATTGGATGTTGCCAACAAAATTGGGATCATCTAAACTGAGTCCAGCTGGCTAATTCTAAATATATACTTTTTTCTCAGCTAAAAAAAAAAAGAAAGTGCATAGAAATTGAGTTGACTCAGTATGTGGACCTTGTATCTTGCACCTTTGCTGAATGTGCTTATTCTACTGGTACTTTTAGTAGACTTTATTTACAAAATTGTGTTATCTTAGATTTTCTTCTTCTTACTCCTTTCTAACTAAAGGCCTTTTGGAACCTTTTCTTGCCTGCCATTTTGAATAAAGTGGTAAAGGTAAACATCTTTTCTTCTAATTTTAGGGGGGAAGTATTCAGTCTGTTGCAATTAAGTCTTATGGTAACTGGTTTTTCATGGAAGCCTTTGTCAAGTGAAGATCACTTCTACTTTGCTGAGTGTTTGTTGTTTTGTTTTGTTTTTTATCATGAAGGAATGCTGAATTCATCTAATGCTTTTTCTCTATGTCTATAGAGGGAATTAGATAGGTTTTTATCTTTTCTTCTGCTGATATAATGTATGTCTTAGTTACTCTTCTCTTGTTGCTGGGACAAATACCAGACACTCAAATTAGGGAAGGCAAAGTTTATTTAGCTCA